GAGTTGGGAGCCTGAGTTGCCGGAGACGATCATCATAGGAGAAATCTGCCATACCAGGGTGGCAGGGATTTGCTTCGTTGCACGCCTCTGAACATTTTCGATAGCTTCTATGTGTTTCACTAGATGGGGAGCCCATATCTGATTTGCGTACTCCAGGTGAGGGCGTACAAGACCAGTGTATAATAATTTAAAAGTTTTCACATCCATGTATTCCTAAGTGACACTTAGCTCTAGTACCGCTGAGACTGAGAGAGTCTATATCCCCCAGGTTAGGCCTACTGCAGGAACGTACTCTGGCCTGGGTACGGTCCGGTATACCGGAACGTATCCTGGTACTATCTAATAGTAATATGCCAGACCGTACCTCGCCTACTCCACTAACGAGTCTAGGGAGTTGCCTACGCCTACTCCCTAGCCCTAACCCTAACCCTAACCATATCAGATAGTTACCATGCAGGGTACGTTCCGGTATACCGGACCGTACCCAGGGTACGTTCTGGCAGTACCCTGGGGGACATAGACCCTATGAGCTCTAGTACCGCTCTAGTACTTAGCTCTAGTCTAGTAGCCGCAGGCAACTGTACGCGGGCTATATAGTACTAGAGTTAAGTGACACTGACAGTAACAGTACACACAGTGTGACACCAGGGTTCTGCCCATGGTGGGCGGTGGTGGGTGGGTGTGCCCGGCACTCGCGGTTGCCGCCCGGCACTATAAACGAGTCGGTTATCTCTGCCCGGCACTAATTTTTGTCCAGATAAAAAAAATAGCAGTGCTTTTTTTTAGGATATAGTCTTTGAAAACGTGGTATCGTTTTTATAAGTCGGCTGTATTTACTTCCGTCGTCTACAAATATCAAGCATCGTCGGCAATGACAAAGAATTAATAGACTAGTAGACTAAATACACTGTAGTTTGTGTCCATTTGTTTGGAACTGAAGCAGTCTGACAGGAACTGTGACTGGCAGTAGCCTGGCTATCATGTTTAATAGTAGCAAATATTTGTCTACACAAATTGTACTGTTTTCTCTTTTCTATGTATATCAAGAGTAGATAATAACACATTGTGTTATTATCTACTCTTGATGTATATCCAAGCTGTTGATAAATGATAATCTCAGATATTGCATTTTGTTCTTCTAAAACCCCTGTTTTTCCTTTTTTTACCTAAAAAAACAACAAATTTGTCAGTCTGATATATGGGCTTTTTATTGCTCAGAATGCAGGAAATTGAGTTTCAGACTATCCAAAATCAAA